GTCAGCATAGTCCTAAACATGGAATATGGTTTCTGTGGAAAAATGTATTATATGTACCACCGTCAGCATAGTCCTAAACATGAAATATGGTTTCTGTGGAAAAATGTATTATATGTACCACTGTCAGCAAAGTCCTAAACATGAAATACGGTTTCTGTGGCAAAATGTACTATATGTACCACCGTCAGCATAGTCCTAAACATGAAATACGGTTTCTGTGGCAAAATGTACTACATGTACCACCGTCAGCATAGTCCTAAACATGAAATACGGTTTCTGTGCAAAAGGTACTATATGTACCACCGTCAGCATAGTCCTAAACATGAAATACGGTTTCTGTGGCAAAATGTACTATATGTACCACCATCAGCATAGTCCTAAACATGAAATGCGGTTTCTGTGGCAAAATGTACTATATGTACCACCATCAGCATAGTCCTAAACATGAAATACAGTTTCTGTGGCAAAATGTACTATATGTACCACCATCAGCATAGTCCTAAACATGAAATACGGTTTCTGTGGCAAAATGTACTATATGTACCACCATCAGCATAGTCCTAAACATGAAATATGGTTTCTGTGGCAAAATGTACTATATGTACCACCATCAGCATAGTCCTAAACATGAAATACGGTTTCTGTGGCAAAATGTACTATATGTACCACCATTTTTTTTTGGCACATAAAAACAATAAGTCATTTTTTACCTTAACTACATGTACATCTTCCAGCAATTCCTTCAATCTTCCTGCATGAAATAGTTGATCCTTGTTACTACCAGACAAGATATCAACCAAATACACTTGGCCTCTGACTGTAGACAACTGTACTAAAGTCAACTTACCATTCACACCTGGCAGGTAAAAATACAGTAAATCAAAATGTTTTGGGTAACCTTGTTGCTAGGATACCATGTATATACATTAGTGTATTTTTTGACAATTGGAAAGAGACTTTGGATGCATTTACTGAATTACTGTATTACACACATGACATGCCAAATACAATGCTGCGAACAATATAACAAATTAATATTAGAAACTATGCAAATTAATCTTTGGTTTGTGACAATATATTGACTTGATTTCAACACTTTATGATTGACACATTTGATTCAACAATTTGTAGAACTCAATTACAATCTACAGTACGGTACTCAATCCATGTAACCGCAGGCTTGCTTCCGCTTTTAGGTAATTTGTTCTGCTCACTTTTACAATGTAGGAAACTAATATACATGGATTGCAGTCCTGAAGCAATCTAAAAGCACTTATGTACCTAGTTTCATTAAAATTTGATCATTGATACTCAAGATATCTGTGGAGCACATATAAATTGGTTAAATTTATGCAAATTAGGTAACTAGTAAGCACAACATTTAACCCTGAACTAAACATGTATATGGATTATCTCTGAGCATTTACATGTATGTACCAAGTTTCACTGAATCTAATGAGTGGTTGAGATATTGAAGGAAAAGTTAAATATTGGCTAATTAATATGCATAAATTTCAGCCAAAAAACTAATCAGATTTCACATTATCCCAAAGCATTTATGTACCAAGCTTCATTGAAATCTGTTTAATCGCACATGAGGAACAAGTGAAAATGTTTTGGTTAGTTCATATGAAAATTAATATGCACAGATTTCAGCCAAAAACTATTCAGGTCTGAGCATTATCCCAGAGCATCTATGTACTAAGTTTCATTAAAATCTTATATAAATTGGTTCTTGAGATATCAGTGGAACAAACACACACACACACAGACAGATGCATTAACCACAGGAGTCAAAAACTTGTTTGGGCATTACCTAGACATTCCCCTTCACAGTCGACTGCCACCACTTCCTGTGATAACAATTCATGCATGAGACAGGCACATCTTCTGACATCATTAATAACTTCTATTTGATGTGGATAGATGTTTCCTGTAGGTCTTGGATGTCGAATAATATCATGTATTTCAGCTTTCGTCTTATAAGGCATCAAAGATACAACTCCGTTCTGTTCTCTGAAGTATTCACACTGGTCTGAGATAAAACTCTTCAAAGTTTTCAAACTGGAACCCAGGTAGTTCTTTATCTCAGGTCTGCATTTTGATTCTGGAATCTGGCGGATCAGGGTAAACAGGGAATTAAGTGTTCGATTGTTTTTTCTGATGAGGTAGACACGGAGAAATGACACTGCTTCACCAATATAACCTTCAGACAGTTCAGTTACAGGTTGAGCTATGACTGCTTCATCAATCACACTCTGTCCATGTCTGTGTGCTAATGATCCCATTGCTCCTTTACCTGAACCCCGTTTGCATCTTAGGGGTGGTGATGTTGTCATTCCTCCTCGAAATGAATCCTGTCCATGTCTGTGTACTGAAGATGGCATTGCTCCATTCTTACAACCCCGTCCATGTCCGTGTGCTGATCTCATTGTTCCTCTACCCGAACCCCGTTTGCATTTTAGGGGTGGTGATGTTGTCATTCCTTCTCGAAACGAATATTGTCCATGTCTGTGTATTGAAGATGGCATTGCTCCATTCATACAACCCTGTCCATGTCTGTGTGCTGATCTCATTGTTCCTCTACCTGAACCCCGTTTGCATCTTAGGGGTGGTGATGTTGTCATTCCTTCTCGAAACGAATCTTGTCCATGTCTGTGTACTGAAGATGGCATTGCTCCATTCATACAACCCTGTCCATGTCTGGGGTGTGCAGATGATGTTAATGTTCCTCTATTAGAACTAAATCCTTGTCTGTGCGATTGTGATATCCTCCTTGCTCCCCTAAGTGAACCATGTCCAGGCCTAAGTCGTGTTGACGATGTCATTGTTCCTTGAATCACACCCCATACATGTTTTGCTCCAGGTGTTGACGATCTACTATTTTCAGCTTTTCCTGGAACACAACAAAATTATTTATATAGGAAAAATACTGCAATGATAGATGACTTAATGCATCTTGTATAATTCATAATCAAGAAAAACAAACCATGCATGGCACAGTCCCCGTTAGTTACCAAATTTAAGATATATAGTTTTGTTTATAGTAATATTGTTGGAGCATAAACATGTCAGAAGTATGGATCCAGAAAATGATGCTTAATTATGATGATTTTTTAACATTACAATGATTGACATCTTGTATCTGATTGTCAAACGTGTACTTGTCCATATTGAGAAATATTGCTCTGGAACAGCATTAATTAAAACAAAATGGCCACCAGTCGGCCATTTTGAATACCACAATGAATATATAAAATTTGAACAAAATCAGTCAAAGCATAACAGAGATATGGCTCTAGAAGCGCATTCATTAAAACAAAATGGCCACCAGTCAGCTATATTGAATTTGATATTCTCTAATGTATGTACCAAGTTTGAACAAAATCCATCCATAAATGCTTGATTTTGATGATTTTTTAGCATAAAAATGGTCACCATTCGGTCATCTTAAATCTGATCGTGAAACAAATTGATGTACATATGTATAATATTATGTATGATGTATGTGTGAAGTTTGATTGTGATTGGTCCAGGCATGTCTAAGATACAGGTCCGGAGGCACGCACGGGTACACAAAGGTCAATCCAAAAGTCCCGGTTTTAGGCGAGGGTTCTCCGAACCCGCCTATTCACATAGTTCATACCCACCATAGACTCCGGTCAGTCAAAATGACTATTTTGAACTGTAGGTATTAATCAGCAATTCTGCCGGTGACGGAGAGATAGAATCTAGGTCAGGGGAATCCCCATGACCTCAAGATTCTTTTACCCCTTACTTCACGAACCCACGTGACCGAGGCCACATGGCAGCGCCATAGGTAGCCGTCAATCACTCTGGTTCCTTTCTCTCTGCCTCGAGGACTTAGACCAACGCGACGGAAAGAGTGGGGAGGTTGGGGG